TAACACGTTTCCAGACAAGTTGTTTAGTTTATACATATGCAACAGCACTAACATTTTTGTGCGTTTAATTTTTTGAAAGAATTTTATCCCAAAGTCCCATTCAATGTGTATTTGCTATCAATTGGGCTAATTTGGTAGACTTTTCAGAAATATTTGGTATTGAATTCCATGTAAAGTAAAATACAGGTAAAAGCAGAAAATATATTTCAAAGTGCTCATAAAAATATTTTTTTAATTAAAAATAGACTATTAAACAAAATTTGAACCTTAAGAGACAGCAAAATACTGGGAAGGAAGTAAATATGAGATCTGTTCTTCTGTCATTACATGTTATAATTCTTACTTGCTAATCTTAAAGAGAGAAATGGTTTCCCATTGCCATCGTGAGCTGGAAGGTAGTCTTCTGTTAATATGTTCTCATAAAATTGCTGTATAAGCTTGTGCAGTCACATCCCTTTCTTGTGATTCAGTTTCCCCCATTTATACATTTGGCATGATGTTTCCTTTTCCCATCTGAGTTTTGAGAACTTAGCAATACTTGTAAAAACCTTTAGCATCCTTGGCTGGAAAAGTGCTATATAATGCTGGAAAAGTACTACATATTTAAACACCAACAATTCGAGTCATGCTGGAGATGAAGACAAAGAGGAAAATTAGGTCTTTTGCATTTAAGGAGCTTGCAGCTTAATTAAATGTAGAATACAGTATACACTCAAATGCCCATGCCACTGTTTATGACCAGTGCTACCACTGAGAAGAACTGTCCTGCCTGTCACCAGCAGTCTTTTCTCATCCCTTAAATACCTTCTATGTTGTTCCAGCACAGATATATCTGAGGCCACATTGTGATCTGCATAGGGGAACTGGTATAGCTAAAAGTTGTTAGTCTTAGCCAAGATCGTGCCCTAATCCGGTTAATTTTATAGACACACACGTTCTTCTGCCAGCCTCATGTAGGGGACAGAAATGAGTGTCTGGGCATATAGAGAAGGCAGGATCACTTCTTTTGGTAGTGAGGCCAGTCCATGTCATGTTGAAGAGGGTCTACACTGTTAGCAGATGATGTGAATATAGAAAGGTCTCTTTATTCTAGATAGGATAGAAAATGTTGTCTGTAGGTACAGCCTCCAGCTTTTGGGGACTTAAAAATGAAAACACAAGAAGTGCATGCCTAAGTAAAAGGCTATTTCAGAAGTCTCAGTTAAAACAATTGAGCAGTTCCTCAGACAGGTGTAGAAGAAAACTGCAGTATTTTTGCATTAATTTGCTGAGAAGATCTAATTCCTATAGGCTTTAGAATGGAAATTTGATATTTAGCGCTTGAGTAATCTTTGTCTTTAGCCAACCTATGAAAATTACAAATCAGGCCAAGCGCTTGGCACCAGGCACCATGGCCAGAACGACCTTCTTGCCTTTCTCCTGAATTGTCGTTCTCTGAATTACAGGAATAAAGTTTGAAGGCAGGATGAAGCAGGAACTTGAGATGGGATCGGTGATAAGGATGGCAGGGTAGAAAGTAGGAGTAGAACCTGGAAAAAGGACGGAAGTATTGCACTAGGCAGGATTGAGCAAAACTTCTCTCTCCCCCCCCCCCTTTCTTTTTTCTATTTGGCAATTGGCTGTGAACCACTTAGTTATGTGTGATTCTCCCTCATGCAGTAGTGGCATATTCACCTGGAAGATAGCAATTGCCTTTAACAGTCAATTACTCAGCAGTAAGAATAGTGCAAAAATCTTTATTCTCGTGACGGTTCAAGTGTGTGGTCACAAAATGCCTTTTTATTAGTAAACTTTTTATATCAAAACAACATTTCAATTAAGAGGAGCATTAGAGAACAGTCAGATTGCAAAGTCAAGCCCATAAAAGTTAGGAAATGCTAGAATTATTATTGCTTCTGATAACTTAATTCACTTACATCATACATTATGGTCATCTTTATTTATATGGTCATGAACAATCCCTGTTGCAGAATATTTAGTTTTCCTATGTTGTTCCAGTGAAATGTACATACAAGTATAGATATTACATACTCAAACACACAAACTATATGTACTTCTGATGTGATACTGTATTATTCAGTTCTATTGCCTAAAGCCAGGCCCTGCTAATCTAGACACTTTATAAAAATAAAGAAAACTGTTAGCTGTCCAAAAAGCTTTCATTTATTTTCCTGGTCTCTTGGTGCAGAGGAAGTAGAGTAAAAAGTGATGTTAAATCACCTTTTATGGTCTCTGTTCTGAAATTATTCTTCAGTCTCTTCAGCCTGTAGCATGTGTTAGAGCAGCCTCAGTGAGCTCTGCTCTAGCCTAAGTTGGCTGCCTGTAGCCTTCACAGAGCTGGTCCAGAAGCTGAGATTAGTGGGGTGGGTGTCAGAACATTAAATCCAGCCCCCCTTTATGCATATATTTATTAACTGCCCACAAAACCTGGTGCATTTCTTTGGAATCAAACAGTGGCTGGGATTTTGGTGAGGCTGGTTATTAATTCTGAGGAAATGCCCTGCATTTTGCATTACCAGAAATAGGACTGTGGATTTTGTGCATGTGTGTTGTCATCTCAATGCATTCAGCCACACTGCACACTGACAGCTGTGTCACTTTACGTTTTGCAGCATTCAGTTGATTTCAGAAGGTTCTGGATCTAAATTTCTAAATGTCTCCCCCTCAAGAAGCAACTGCATGTGTCTCTTGCGTAGGTCTCCTTCTGCAGGGTATTAGACAAAACAGGTTTGGTTTTCAACACATCAATAGTTTTGCATCCGAGCCAGTTACCAAGTGCCATCGTGTAGTCTGTGGCAACCAAAGCATCTTCACACATGTAATTCTCTAGAATGAGAATTTTCTTCTAAAATGTGAGAGTTTTCCTCTTAAATTTTTCCTTAGGTTGCAGAGGATTTTGTTTTAGCTTATATGACATCTCCTGCCTGCCTTCTTTTCCTTGCACTCACAGAATGCATGATAGAGGAAAAGAAGTTCTTCCCAGCCTGGTTACACAGATGACTTCACAAGAGGCATGAAATGTCACTCATTTAATTCTTCATTTAACACTAAGGAACATTTTGGTGTTAAAGGATGAAATAATACCATAACCCAGCTCTCAATGATCTCTGGAAGTTACGGAACCAAAACATGGCACTGAAAATTCACTAAAGATTGATCCTTTACAAAACATGACATCAGTGCTAACCTTGGGAATTAAGAGAAGAATAGACTTCCCTTTGAAGAAAGGCCTCATCAGCAATAGAGCTGGGAAGTAGAAACCTGAGCAGATTGCTTGTGTGTCATTCTTCTAATATGTTTAATATTTTATCCATAGTAGAGATTAGTGTCATTTTTCTTGCCTGGCAGTTTAATGTGTAAGTGCACGGCCAAGTCTGCTATCCCTCCAAATTGATAGAACTTACTCATGCACGTGAAAAGACTGTACGGGTCAAAATGAAACATTGCACACGATATTTCATACAGGAGGAGTGTATACGCACGGTTTGACATATCTCAACACATATCTTAAGATCTTGATCTTGCAGATCTGGTGTGTGTGAAACTTTGACCAAAGTCAGTGAGAAGCATGTGTCTCAGACTCCAGGTGGGGCCTTGAATATGTCGAGTTGCCAGGACAGCCCACAGACAGTGAGAGGAGAGGGCTGCTGTGCCCGTCTCCTCCCCCAGATGCTGAGCCATCTTTCTTTCATGCCTCTTCGTTCAAATATCCAAACCCCAAAGAAAACCAAGTAGAAACACCACCACCCCCCCAAGCATGAGATGGGAGTAACAGGAGGAGAGAGAGAGAAGAAAAAGTGGCAAAAATCGGACCTACCTTTCTGGGAAGCTAATGGCTGTAGAAAAAAATTCTCTCTGATGGTGATGCAATAGTAACTAAGCCTAGTTTTTTTAAGAGACACTGCCAGTAATGTTTTCAATTCTTTCTTTAAAAAAAAACCTTAGTTAGAAAATCTCTCTTGGTATTCCCTCATCCTGGCTCTCAGCCTATGTTAGTGATGAAACATAAACCACTCACTATAGAGAATGAGAAAATTTTGAGTCACAGCTTTTTTGGTGCAATTTGAGGTAACCTAAGTGAAGTAAAAAGAATTGTCTCAGAACATAGTTCATTCTTTTCTTTTTCATTTGCAAGCACAACACCTTTTCCTTCCAGTTTCATTTTAAAGGTGACCTAAATATTTGACAATGTTTTTTTAAGTCACTCAACTGGGGTTTCTTACATACTATTACTGGCAAGAGACAGCCTCATCGGCATCCCCAAAGTGGAGTTGTGCTTACATCCAGAAATGAGAAGGGTTAAGAAAGCGGGTAGCTCATCACTTTAGGCAAAAAAAAAAAGCAGGGTAAAGGAGGAATCTTAAAGAAGACAGGCTATGGGGTAGCAGTTGTTAAGAGAAGCTATAGTAATAAGTGTTTGCTGTAACATTTTGCCTTGGGAGGACAGAGGGAGTGCTTGGGAGGATAGATGTCAGTGTTTCTGACATCCTGCCTGGTTTTCCTGTTTCACGTCCTAAAAAGGGTTTGACCATTTGGAATCCCCTTAGACATAGTTTGTGCTGTAAACTTTGCATTCAACTAGGATGTAGATGTCAAAGGTCAAAGTTCACTTTTTGCCTTCTCTCTCTCTCTCTTTCTCTCACCCACACCCCTTCCCCTCAATTTTATAGGGCGATATCCATGAGGATTTTTGCAGTGTTTGCAGAAAAAGCGGGCAGTTGCTGATGTGTGACACATGTTCACGTGTTTATCACCTGGACTGTCTGGACCCGCCTCTGAAAACCATTCCCAAGGGCATGTGGATCTGTCCCAAATGTCAAGACCAGGTATTGTTTGACAGACAGGGAGAGTTATACACAATGAACTATAAAGATTTTCCGCATTAAAGAAAATAACCACATCACTTGGCTTATTTAGATCAAGACATTCTGACACTGAACAAATCTATTTGATCTGTAATAAGGCTTGTGTGAATTTGATCGAATTACCTCTGTTGGGATGCGTGCAAATACAAAACTGTTAAGTCTTGCTCCCAGATTTGGGGTCCGTATTTGTTACCCTTGTTTTTACTCTTTTTCTGGGCCAAAGCACACAAACTTTTGGGAAAGGTTCTCTATTACCCATAGAAATTTTCCTGTTCATCTTAAGGTCATTGTTTCTTCAAAAATTGCTAGTATATTCTTCTGGACAAATAAATAAAACATTTGCACAAGCCTACCTCGATAGAGCAAATATAAGCCCCTGTTTACTCATATAAATCAAATATCAAAGAGGTTGTCTTCAGTGATCTCTTTAATAATATCATCCAGCATCAGTATAACAAGGATAGGCAAACAGTTTGGTTGTTCTTCCTTCCCAATCCCTTTCTGAAAGTACGCAATTGAAGTGAACAGATGATATATTAATATTTTGTTTATAATTGCATTGAGATTACAAGACAAAGAAGTAAACTATTGTATTCCTAACCCTTACATGGGACTCCAGAAGCTGCAAAGGATTGCTGATAGTCAGCAGCCTGAAGCTGTTAGTGTTCTGTCTGATTTAGCATATTTCTTGGTCGCCCACATGACCTTCGGTTAGCCAGATGGTAACATAAGAAAGCAGCCTGTTCAGAATATGCTGTTCAGAAGAATGAAAATGCAAAACTCAAATGACTTGGTCAGTAACTGCAAGTGAGGAGGGGGTGTTACCACTTCCCTACTCCCGCTTTTGCCTACTCTCACCTTATCCCTCCTCTTCATACTTCTGTGATAGTTTCCCACAAAATTAGGGGGAAAACATCTGAGTTATTTCACTCTAAAGTGACCGAGTCCTCTATCTTCTGAGACATCCCTCTAATTCACTTATTAAAAAGACACAATACGTGTCTTTCCTCTCAAAATAAAGTTTGTTAGGAAGGAATATGTAGGAAGGATCTGAAAGACATAAATGGTGCTTACCCTTATAAAGAGGGTTTGACAACTCTATTAAGATGATTCTGATAAGAAGGGGAGATAGGACGGTTTCATCTTTTACTAGCCAGGAAGCGTGATGTTTGAATATATGGTGTGGAGACTGGTCTGTGCCATGAAAGGTTTTCTCCCAGAACAACTAAGATCAGCAATTTGTCTGAACCATGAAGTAATGTGTATGTCTCCTGGCAAGTTTGAGTTCAGATATATTATCCTTTCATTCCTCTTTTTAAGTTGTTCAGTTTCATTAGTAGAGTTTATTTGTGGCTATGGAGGGAATTTGAGAAAATGCTGACATTTGTAAGAAACAGGCCTGTTTTGTGGGAGCCACAATACAGTTGTGAATAATTCCCTCCATTAAATCTCAGAACAGGTCTGCGAAGCTTCATGTTAACAGGGCTGAGACTAATGATAGCCATAAAAGAAAATCCTCAGTCTTTCCCTCTTCCTCTCCCTCCTTTTTGCTTTCCTAGAGATAGATTGTGTACCAGCTAAATCTCCAAATGCTTTTCTTTCAGATGCTAAAGAAGGAAGAAGCAATCCCATGGCCAGGAACTTTAGCAATTGTTCATTCATATATTGCATATAAAGCAGGTAGGAAAATGGGGAACAAAACTTTCGTTTCACTTTTAATAATGGAAGATGTTATTCTGGGAATGGGATAGAATGGTACTTCCTTTACAAAAGGAAGTTAAAGGGGAGGAACCTTAATCACTAGTGAAGTGAAAATAGCAATCTAAACATTTGTTAAGCCTTCTGTGATGCTTGTGTGTGTAGGTGAAATTTGGGGTGTGATTTAGTGCACAAGTTGTTGAATTGACTTTAAACACAATTACCCTCTTTACATGAACCAGTTTAGAGCCTCTGTCCACTGTTGTAACAGGAACATTTTAAATATTGTGATTAATACTCTGTTTTGTAGCAAAAGAAGAGGAAAAACAGAAACTACTTAAATGGAGTTCAGATTTAAAACAGGAAAGAGAACAACTAGAGCAGAAGGTCAAACAGCTCAGCAATTCTATAACGGTGAGTATTGCCCTCCCAAATAGCTCTGCACCTGTGTTCTGGTGCTGGAATACAGAGAGAAAACTACAGAGTGACTCCATGTACTAGAGCTGTCTTCCACTGGATTTACTGAGAACTGAGTGAGCGCTTTCCTTTGCTTTTTAGGACTTTGGGGAGCAGGA